ATCATCTTAGTCCCTAACTTTTCAAAATATTAAAATATAACATATAAAAATTTAATTCTATTTCACGAAAATTTAGGACTTTAAAGTGAAGAACAAAGGCTTTTTATGCGATTCAAGGTAGGTAGATTTTCAAATGTTATTTCGTTTTCGAATTACAATTTTTCATTAAAAGTTTGAATGAAATGGTATCTCTGGGTAGGATGCTTTGATAATACTATAATTTGAATGATAATTTCCGGTTCCACGTGTTATGATAATGCTATAGAAATCGAATTTTGCCGAAAATCCATCTACGTGCGACGGTATGGATATGCAGTTAAAATTATCTAATTTGATGACGAAAACACCGATGTTATCTATTGAGTTATTAACTCAAGAGTTAACTCCCTTCCTACAGGTTGATTTGATTTGCTTGAGGGCGTAGATGATGGTAGCTACAGATGTAACATGCCATGGAGAAGCTGGTGATTTAATGTCTTTAATTCAATATTGAAATGTTGACGTTTTCTTTTAAATAGATTTTTATGGATGTCATGTGTGGACTATTCTATGAACATTTCTTTATGAATAAGCTATGTTTAAAAGTAGATATGTGTTATGGAAATTAATTCACGAAAATCGTTTGCAAAAAACAAAAAAATAAAAAATAAAAAATTGTTAGCGATTTAATGTTGCCGTTTCTTTAAAATTTCAGCTTCTGCCTTAATTTTAAAAATTCATAACTCAATCACTATTAGGAATTTTTAGAAAATACCAGTGGCTTTTGATAGCCTCATGGGTTAGCTACTGCATAAACTTGGAATTATGTCAATCCAATGTCGGTAGAATTTTCTATGTTACTTAAAAAATTAAATTGCACTGGACAGTGTTGCTGTTTTCAGCTTCTGCCCTTGGTTTCAAAAATTCATAAGTCAATCGTTATCTGGAATTTTTGGATGAAACTAATGGAATTTGATAGTATCATGGATTAACTACTGAATAAAGTTGAAACCATGTTGTTCCGATGTCTATGAGATTTTATACGTCATTTTAAGTGAACTGCACTGGTTTACCTTTCAACCAAGTCTCTGCAAGGTTTGAAAAACTGTTTTAATAACGCATATGTTGTCGATGGCAGTCAATTTTTGGATATATCTTATCATAAGAAGTCTCCTACTTTACATTAAAATTTCATGAAGTTTTGGAGTCAATAGCTATGCAAATTAACTTATTTTGGCACTTGTCATACGAGATAGAAAAAGAAAACAGCTTTGCTTTAGTTATTGTTAGCGGAGTTTGAAAAATATTTTAACATCTCATATGTTGCCGGCAGAAGCTGATTTTTAAACATGTCATAATATAAGAAGTTTGCTACCATCCGTTAAAATCTTGTGAACTTTCGAGATTGATAACTATATAAACGAATTTATTTTTAACATTTTCCATTTGAGAAAGAGAAGTAAAACAACATATTTATATTTTATACCTAAAATGTTAACGTTAATTGTACATGCATGAAAATCACTCCATAGACCTTTTGAATTTGTTTCCTTCAAATATTAAATTATGTTGTGTTGTGTTGTTAGAACGAATTATAAATCTATAATACTTAAGTAAATTTTATAGTAATTCATTATGTATTTAGCCAAAAAAAAAAAAAGTATAGTTAATTAAACTAAATTGTTATATTAATACTAAGTCTAGACTAAGGTACAATCGTTCGAGTGACATTCCAGTTAGTACGGGTCAGGGCGTTACATTTAACATCCCATTCAATTCACATTTATCCTTGTGACCATGTTCTAAAACTTGTGAAGTCCAATTTATACTTTGACGAGGCTTCTTTATCATTTTAGATACTATACAAGTTTAACATTTAAATGCTTTATTTGTATTATATGAAATCATATCATAATTTAACATTTTTTCATAGTACTAACACCTATGTGATTGATGAGTGTTTTTCATTCGTACTTTAGACACCATCTAAGCTTGATATTTTGATAATTCCTATAAGTTTTAGAGTATTTTAATGTGTTTTTTTATGTTGTGATATATTTTGATGAAATTGAAGAAAATAAGCAAAAGTTGGCAAATTTGAAGAAAATGACTAAATTGTAAGAGATCCAAAGTTTGGGACCAAAGTGAAAATACTTAAAAATTATGTCAAACCTGACGATGAAGATTTGAGAGTATTAAGGGTCAATTGGATGAAAAAAGATGTCAAAGAGATCAAATATAATCAAATTATTATTACACATCAATTTCCAACCCGAAAAAGTTATGCTCTGAATTTTTAGTCTCATATTGAGACTCATTTTTGACATTGCAAATATCAAAATTGAAAATGATATCTAACTAAGAATTGTAGCCCTTTAAGTTAGCTT